CACACTGTTTTCCAGAGTGGCTGCACCAGTTTGCATTCTCACCAACAGTGTAAGATGTTTTTCCACATCCTCACCAACATCTGTTGTTTCCTGACTTGTTAATTTTGGCTACTATGACTGGTGTGAGGTGGTATCTCAATGTGGTTTTGATTTGTATTTCCCTGATGATGAGTGATGTTGAGCATCTTTTTTCATGTGTCTGTTGGCCATCTGGATGTCTTCTTTGGAAAAGTGTCTATTCATGTCTTCTGGCCATTTCTTCCCTGGATTATCTGTTTTTTGAGTGTTGAGTTTAGTAAGTTCTTCATAGATTTTTGGATACTAACTATTATCCGATATGTCATTTGCAAACATCTTTTCCCATTCCATCGGTTGCCTTTTAGTTTTGTTGATTGTTTCATCTGTGCAGAAGCTTTTTATCTTGATGAGATCCTAATAGCTCAGTTTTTTTATTTCCCTTGCCCTCAGAGATGTGTTGAGTAAGAAGTTGATGCAGCTGAGGTCAAAGAGGTTATTGCCTGCTTTCTCCTCTAGGGTTTTGATGGTTTCCTGTCTCACATTTAAGTCTTTCATCCATTCTGAGTTTATTTTTGTGTATGGTGTAAGAAAGTGGTCCACTTTCATTCTTCTGCATGTTACTGTCCAGGTCACCCAGCACCATTTGCTAAAGAGCCTGTCTTTTTTCCATTGGATACTCTTTTCTGCTTTGTCAAAAATTAGTTGGCCATACATTTGTGGGTCCAATTTTGGGTTCTCTATTCTATTCCATTGGTCTATGTGTCTGTTTTTGTGCCAATACCACACTATCTTGATGATTACAGCTTTGTAGTAGAGGCTAAAGCCCAGGATTGTGATGCTCCCCAACTTTGGTTTTCTTTTTCAACATTACTTTGGCTATTCAGGGTCTTTTATGGTTCCATACAAATTTTAGGATTGTTTGTTCTAGCTCTGAGAAGAATGCTGGTGCAATTTTGATTGGGATTGCATTGAATGTATAGATTGCTTTGATATTGTAAGAATATTTGTTCTTCCAATCCATGAGCATAGAAGGTTTTTCCATGTCGTTGTGACTTCTTCAATTTCTTTCATAAATTTTCTATAGTTTTCAGCACACAGATCTTTTACATGTTTGCTTAGGTTTATTCCTAGGTATTTTATGGTTCTTGGTGCAATTGTAAATGGGATTGATTTCTTGATTTCTCTTTCTGTTGCTTCATTGTTGATGTATAGAAATACAAACGATTTCTGTACATTGATTTTGTATTGTGCAACTTTGCTGAATTCATGTATCAGTTCTAGCAGCTTTTTGGTGGAGTCTTTGGGTTATCCATGTAGAGTATCATGTCATCTGTGAAAAGAGACATTTTGACTTCTTATTTGCCAATTTGGATGCCTTTTATTTCATTTTGTTGTCTGATGGCTGAGGCTAGGATTTCCTACATTGTTAACACGACATTAAACAACAGTGGTGAAGGCAGACATCCCTGTCATGTTCCTGATCTTGGGGAAAGCTCTCAGTTTTTCCTCATTGAGGAGGATATTAGGTGTGGGCTTTTCATATGTGGCTTTTGTGATGTTAAGGTATTTTCCTCCTATCCTGACTTTCTTGAGGGTTTTTATTAAGAAAGGATGTTACATTTTGTCAAATGTTTTTTTTTTTTTTCTGCGTCTATTGACAGGATTATATGGTTTTTATCCTTTCTTCTATTAATGTGATGTATCACATTGCTTGATTTGCGAATATTGAACTAGCCCTACAGGCCAGAAATGAATCCTACTTGATCACAGTGAATAATTCTTTTAATATACTGTTGAATTCGATTTGCTAGTATCTTGTTGAGAATTTTTGTATCCATATTCATCATGGATACTGGCCTGTAATTCTCCTTTTTAGTGGGGTCTTTGTCTGGTTTGGGAATCAAGGTAATGCTGGCTTCATAGAATGCATCCAGAAGCTTTCCTTCCATTTCTAATTTTTGGAACAGCTTGAGAAGAATAGGTATTAACTCTGCTTTGAATGTCTGGTAGAATTCCCCTGGGAAGCCATCTGGCCCAGGACTCTTATTTGTTGGGAGATTTTTGATAACTGATTCAATTTCTTCACTGGTTATGGGTCTGTTCAAATTTTCTATTTCTTCCCGTTTGAGTTTTGGTAGTATGTGGGTGTCTAGGGAATTTTCCAATTCTTCCAGGTTGTCCAGTTTGTTGGCATATAATTGTTCATAGTATTCTCTAATAATCGTTTATATTTCTGTGGTGTTGGTTGTGATCTCTCCTCTTTTATTCGTGATTTTATTTATTTAGGTTCTCTCTCTTTTCTTTTTGAGAAGTCTGGATGGGGGTTATCAATTTTGTTTATGTTTTCAAAAAACCAGGTCTTAGATCCATTGATCTGTTCTACTGTTTTTTTTTTTTAATTCTATATTGTTTATTTCTGCTGTAATCTTTATTGTTTCTCTTCTGCTGGCTTTGGGGTTTCTTTGCTGCTCTGCTTCTAGTTTCTTCAGGTGTGAGGTTAGGTTTTGTATTTTGGATTTTTCTTGTTTCTTGAGATAGGCCTGGATTGCAATGCATTTTCAATATTTTCACTTTCATTTGCTTCCATATATTTCTTTAATTTCTTCTTTAATTGTCTGGTTGATCCATTCATTCTTTAGTAGGATGTTCTTTAACCCCCATGCTTTTGGAGGCTTTCCAAATTTTTTCTTGTAGTTGATTTCAAGTTTCAAAGCATTGTGATCTGAAAATATGCATGGTATCATCTCAATTCTTTTATATTTATTGAGGGCTGTTTTGTAACCCAGTATGTGATCTATCTTAGAGAATGTTCCATGTGCACTTGAGAAGAATGTGTATTCTGCTGATTTTGGATGAAAAGTTCTGAATATATCTCTCAAGTCCATCTGGTCCAGTGTATCATTCAAGGCCATTATTTCTTTATTCATTTTCTACCTAGATGATCTGTTCATTGTTGTAAGTGGAGTATTAAAGCCCCTTGCAATTTCTGTATTCTTATCAGTAAGATTGTTTATGTTTGTGATTAATTGATTTATACAGTTGGGTGCTTCCAAGTTGGGGGCATAAACATTTATAATTGTTAGCTCTTCTTGATGGATAGACCCTATAACTATGATAATAATGCCCTTCTTTATCTCTTGTTATAGTCTTTAGTTTAAAATCTAGTTTGTCTGATATAGGTATGGCTACTCCAGCTTTCTTTTGACTTCTGGTAGCATGATAGATGGATCTCTATCCCCTCACTTTCAAAATGAAAGTGTCCTCAGGTCTAAAATGGGTCTCTTGTAGACAGCATATAGATGGATCTTGGTTTTTTATCCATTGTGATACCCTATGTCTTTGGATTAGGACATTTAGTCCATTTACATTCAAAGTTATTATTGAAAGATATGGGTTTAGTGTCATTGCATTATCTGTAGGTTTCATGCTTGTGGAGTGTCTCTGGTCCTTTGTAGTCTTTGCAGCATTCCACTCACAGACCGCCCCCCCCCCCCCCCCCCCCCCCCCCCCCCCCCCCCGCCTTAGGATCTCTTGCAGGGCTGGTTTAGTGGCCATGAACTCCTTCAGTTTTTGTTTGCCTGGGAAAGTCTTTATCTCTCCTTCTATACTGAATGACAGCCTTGATGGATAAAGGATTCATGGCTGCATATTTTTCCTATTCAGCACATTGAATATTTCCTGCCAATCCCTTCTGGCCTGCCAAGTTTCAGTGGACAGGTCTGCCTCTACCCTTATGTGCCTACCCTTGTAGGTTAAGGCCCATTTGTCCCTAGCTGCTTTCAGAACTCTCTCCTTATCTTTGTATTTTGCCAGTTTCACCATGATATGACATGGTGAAGACCTATTCTTGTTGAATCTGAAGGGAGTTCTGTGCCTCCCGGATTTGGATGTCTGCTTCCTTCCCCAGATTAGGAAAGTTCTCAGGTATATTTTGTTCAAATAAACCTTCTCCCTCTTTCTCTCTCTTCTTCTTCTTCTCTGGAAGTCCTATGATATGGATATTATTACATTTCATTGAATCACTTAGTTCTCTAATTCTCCCCTTGTGGTCTAGTATTTTCTCACCTCTCTTTTTCTCAGCTTCATCATTTTCCATAATTTTATCTTCTGTTTCCCTTGTTCTCCCCTCTGCTTCCTCCATCTTGCTGTCACTGCATCTAGTTTATTTTTCACCTCATTTATAGTATTTCTTAATTCATCATGACTATTTCTTAGTTCCTTGATCGCTGCAGCAATAGAATCTCTGCTGTCTTCTATGCTTTTTTCAAGCCCAGCTACTAATCTTATGACTGTTATTCTAAATTCTTGATCAGATATATCTGTTTTGAGTAATTTTCTAGCTTTCATTTCTTACTGGAATTTGAGAAGTCTTCCATTTTGTCATTTTGGCTAGTTTTCTGTACTTTACATGTTTTAGTATCTTGTTATGTGTCCTGCAACTGCGAGCACTACTATATTAAAAAGGGGTCAAACATTGTCCAAGGCCTGGCTCTTCAGGAGGTATTTTTGGAGTCTGTTGTACACTGCACCTGATTTATGAAAACTACAATGTATATCAGCGTTTCCAAATTAAATTTAGTCCACATTAAGAAAAATGTTTTTGTTCTGTTGGCTCTTATTTTGGAAGCATCATAAATACATAGGCTTTCACTAGATAATTAAGGTAATTATTTTCACAGATGTATGGACAGTAGTCACTTATCCCCTTGGAATGCCATTAATTCACACATACACACACACACATCTGTGTGTGTGTGTGTGTGTGTGTGTGTGTGTGAATAAATATGTATCCATATATATACACATTTATATATATTTACATATATAAATATATAAAACATTTGCATGTTGCTTCTGAATGGGTCAAGGGTGGCTTTACCTTTTTTCACAAAAAAGAGATTCTCTACAATCAGGAAATAAAAATGTTGGATCCCTTAAGGCACCAAACATGGTACAGCTATGTTTTTAAACTAAGAACTCACATATTGTCATTTATATTTCGCATCCACTCCTGTTTTCTGAGTTCTTCTCTGGCCATCTTTAACTCATTGATTGGTTCTGCCATCCACAATGTTGGCTCCAAAGGCTTGTAGCGCTGTTCCAGTACTTCGGTGATATCACGGAAAGGTCCCTGACAAGAAAGAATGAGGAAATACTCTACTATGGAAGATCTGTTGTTATATTTTTGATGACTAAAGGTGCTGAATATTTACAAAGTATAGTAAGTTTACCAAATTATTTTTAAATAACAAGCTATTCTTCTCTGAATTAGAATATACATAAGAGGGGCGCACCTGGGTGGCTCAGCTCAGGTCATGATATCACAGTTTGTGAGTTCGAGCCCCACATGGGGCACCACGCTGTTAGCACTTGGGATTCTCAATCTCTCTCTCTCTCTCAAAATAAATAAATAAGCTTTAAAAAGTACATAATAATATCACATCTTCAAGAAATGTTCACACAAGTATTAAATATTTTGATAAATTCTTAAATTTTAAATTTGATAAATATTTTGATAAATATTTTGATAAATGTTTTGATTTTATAAATACAAGTAGTAAAATATTTGATATTAGCCAGAATTTCCCTATTTACATCAAAAGACTTTTCATGCTAAAACTCTAAATTTGTAGTTATAAGTTACTTTGTTTTCTAATTTAAAAAAAATGTTTCTTCTGGTATAATTTTAAAAAAAATTCTCTCCCTTTTTGAGCAAGTAAAAGTATTAGGAAAAATTCTGAGCATTGCTTTTAAAAAGCTCTCTTATAAACAGAAATAGCATAGCAAGTGTTATTTTATTAAGATAAAACTTTGAAGTTAATGCCACAACTTATGCTTAATTGGTGATCCTCCAAAACACAGAAGGGCCATAATTGTAATTAATTTAAGTGTTCTTTATTTAAAATTCTAAATTCTATTGCATAATAGCTCTGATACAATGGCAACTATTTAATGGTACAAATACATAGGAGAGGAAAGTCCATAAGCTGCAATAGTGAAAACTGTTTTACAAAATATCCTACCTTTAAATTAGTAGTTACTTACACTAATTACTAGAATCCACTGATTGTCCAATTAGTATCATATTAAGTACAATACAAATCAGAAGTGGCTCCAGATTCTGCTACGCCATTAATTATATACTGCTTTCTTCTTTCATCACTATCATACAGGAGAGAAGTGATGTAAAATGGACAAAGATTCCTAATCATATTCCTTATCCTTAAAGATCGCTTCTTTAAATAGGTTATCACTAACAAGACACAGCTGGAGTTACTGCAAGCACTGAGTGAAGACTGTGGGGCTAATAAAAAGAAATGATTCACGCCTCATTTATGTTCACTTATGTTTTACATTAATAGAAACCAATAATAGGAACCAGTTACCATAAAAGTCATGGACCGTAAATAACACAAATGGCAAATAAGTATCATCTAGTACTTTTCACAGCTGGACAGGAGGATTGCTATATTTGAAAGTAGTTAATGGATTTTTATTGGAACTTTACTTTTTAAAGATACAGTAACATGATTCCAAGTTCACCATTAAGAAATCAAATGGGGATTTTTTTTTTCTCTTTACAGATTCTTCATGTTTTCCTTTGAGAAATTCTATGGTTTAAAAATTAATACTTGGTTGTGTTATCAGGGAAAATTATTTCTCTAGACCTTTTTCCCTCATATGTAAAATGGAATAATAACTCACAAAATTAATCTTACAATATATGAGATAATGTAAGTAACACTCTTAGCATTGTACTCAGAACATACTAAACACTCAAAAATGATACTCCTGGCTTTATTTTCATTATTAGTTTCAAGAGAAGTTTGAAAAAGGTTTTTTTTTTTTAAATTTTTTTTTTCAACGTTTATCTATTTTTGGAACAGAGAGAGACAGAGCATGAACAGGGGAGGGGCAGAGAGAGAGGGAGACACAGAATCGGAAACAGGCTCCAGGCTCTGAGCCATCAGCCCAGAGCCTGACGCGGGGCTCGAACTCACGGACCGCGAGATCGTGACCTGGCTGAAGTCGGACGCCTAACCGACTGCGCCACCCAGGCGCCCCAAAAGGTTTTGAACAATAGCAGTGTCATATATATATATGAGGAAATGGGCAAGGCTAGTTCTTTGAAGGAACTGGCATTCACAAGGAGAAATGGTCTTCTAAGTGTCCAAGCTCTGCCCTCTATCCTCTGGTGGTGTATCAACATAACACATATCCATTTGTAGACTTACTTGTTCTGGAGCTTACTGTTTCCAGAAAGACTAGGAAATGAAAAAGAAGGAGCCCTACTCAAGCAGCAAAATTTAAGACAAAAATAGACCCAGTCTCTCTTTGGGGCTTAATATAACCTTTGTGGCCCTAGTCCTCCTGTTAGCATGTCCATCTCTCTATGTCCCTCAGTGCCTGGTCCACACATTTCTATCCTAAACAATCCATGTCTTGCCTCTGAGCTCAATAGAACTCCTCCCTGGTAAGCAAATGACATGTGCTGTCAAGCTTCTCCTATGCCAACGCTCTTTCAATTTGTGCCTTTTAGATCTCAAGTGATTACTTACATTGATCATACCTGGAGTGACATGGGGTCGCAGATTTTGGACATAGCTTCCAACTTCAGATCTGCTCATTGTACCCCTTTCCAAATATTAATCCCTATAATGCCTAGACTCAACCTGAAATGTTAGTCTCCTTTGGCTCTTAGCTATAGTTTTCCAAAGTTTGATTTTATTTGCCTCCAACCAAATCCTGATTATAAAGGTCAAATACATTTATGTTCTTCTGTGTTTTTAATAGCCCATGTTACTTTATAGTCATCTTGTATTTTTAAACTATTCTCAAAGCTTAAATAATAATGAAGTTATATTTCAAACTCCTAACATTATCTCATACGTTTAAGAAATTTAGCTTACAAGTACAGACAGATCATCGGAGTATAAATATTACAATTTGGAGTAGAGCATATATAATCTTAAATTTCCCTAATGATGTATGTAGCTTTATATTATTAGATAACATAAAGGAAATGTGGTTAAGTCTAATAAAACCACAACAGTAAACATCCCATTCTGTGAAAACAAGAATGGAAAGAAGGAAAAAAAGAAGACAAGGAAGTGAGGAAAGGAGAAGCCAAAGGAAGCTGAGAGAGAAGCAGGTGGGATGAAAAGATGGGTTGAGGAAGAGTGGGAAGGAAGGAAATACAAAAGAAGGAAAGAAAGGAAGAAAGACGAGATATAATGGTGTGGAGGGGAGGAAAGAAGACCAGGGATAGGAATAAGGACATAGGAAAAGAAGGAAAGAGAAAAAGAACAAGGGTAGAGAGCAAAAGTAAAAAAAAGGAAGAAAGAAGGGAGCAGAAAAGAAAAGAAAATTAACAATGATCATTATTTTGTGGTATGCTAGATGAAGGTAATTTCTGAGTATGTGTATATAAGTATACACATATGTATGATATACATCTGCATATGTATCCATATATATACACACATATAAAATCCTCCATATATATGTATATTCCATAAGTATATATACACATGTATATTTTATATGAATGTATATATATTTTTTCTATGTGTCTTCATATATATATACTATTGTGATATAGAAAGAAATATATATTGTATGGTCCTTGTCACTGATTCCTGGCATAGACTTCCTAAAATGCTTGGGATTTCCTGAGTGATGGGGTGCCTTTGTTATTCAAAACAAGATTACACCTGAGATTATGCTAATGAGATGATTTAGATCCCTAGCAGCCTCATGATGAGACTGGTCACCAGAAAGAAGGTTGAAATTTCCAGCCCCATTTCAGATCTTCAGTGAAATCTAATGGAGTTCAAGATTGAGCTTTATAAAAACTCTTACACGGAGATATGATGAGCTTCTTAGCTTGCACACACTATCTACGTGCTGGGAAAGTGGTGCACCCAACTCTGTGGGAACAGAAGCCTGTGCGCTCTGGAGGCTTTCAGAGCTCACTCTATGTTCCTCTTCATCTGGCTGTTTACTTGTACCCTTTATAATAAAGCAGTAAACTTAAATAAAAAGTCTTCCTGAGTTCTTGAACCATTCTAGCAAATTATCAAACCTTAGGTTGGGGTCAGGGGACTGCTCAATTATAGCCAGTTCAGTAAAAAGTACGGGAGACCCAGAAATTGCGACTGGTATATGAAGTGAAGAACATTTTTGTGGGGTCAAAAGCCCGTAAGCTGCGGGGTTTGCATGAACTCCTGGTAATTAGTGTCAGAACTGGCTTGAATGGATTGGATGCCAAATGGTATTCAGAGAACCAGAGAATTAGTTGTTGGTGTTGGAAAATACCTCAATCACACACATATATTTTTCCCATATATATTTACACATATATTATATTTATTTCCATATTTATTATATAAATATAAATGCACACATCTTCCATACAAATATATATGACAGTTTTTACATGTATATTTTTATATATAAAATGTATATTTTATTTATATATATATTTATATATATTT